TATTTGATATTTACAATTACATTGTAATCATTTATTTTAGGTTTTGTTCCCACACATTATTATAAGTGTTTTCTTAGTGAAATCACTGTGAACCTAACATATAACAAGTTTAGTTACCGGTTGGGTATGAGGAATGATAGGCCACCTTAAAGTTGGGATTATTGAGAAATAATCCATAGTTGGGATTAATGAAAATAAATTGGTGAATGTTGGGATTAAAAAACAGTATTAATTATTATTATTATTATTATTATTATTATTATTATTATTATTATTATTATTATTATTATTATTATTATTATTATTATTTTAACATTTTTTTAGGATCTTGCTAACGAACGCCCCCGAGGCGTCAGATAAGCATTTAATACATTTCCTAAAGTGGTATTAATTTGGGAATGCATGCCAAAATACGCGTCGATCGGTGTAATTAATGTTCATTTGTATTTAATATTTCTATTTTTAGAGCTTATCCAACGCCCTGAGGCGTTCGTTAGCTTTTGCCCTTTTCTATATATATACAGAGTATTTTTTTTTATTATTTTTTATAGATAAAGCTAATACAACTATACAAGACACAAAACCATAAAGTAAAATCCACGGGTTCGTTTGGCATCACTATGGTTTTTCTTTTTTTTGGTTTTTTATTTTTCAAATTCATATGATATAATGTCATATAATGAATTTAAAATTAGTCAAATTTATTAAAATCATGTTAATTTTAAAAACTGACAACAGAAAAGTGAAAACACCTTTTTCCTATTTCCTGTTTTTTGTGTTTTTAGGAAAAAAAAAACGATGCCAAACAAACCCTACGGTAATTGATTATCCCTTGATTATTTTCTCTCTGCCTTTCTATCTTCCTTACTCATTATAAGTAGATATTCACATTCCTTAACCGTAGACAATGCGTGTCTTTAAACTAGGGTCCATAATTTCAAGCATACAAGAAATTTTCTAGAAATAGACTAGTACACAACTTATAAAAATTAGAAAAATTAACAAATATATTAATACATTTTTATACAATGCGTCAACTTATTTTTTCATGAATAATCTTGTAAAAGGTATATATAGTTAATTACTTGATTACTAAAACAAGCAATTCCTAAACTCTCTCTATATAAAAGGGCCCTTACATTAAAAGTAAAGAAAAAATTAAACAAAAAAATTGAAAGTAAGAAATTTTGCGAACCCAATTAAACTGACAACGGCATACTTCACTTACTTCTAATTGTTACTATTGGGCAAAGTTTTCCTAGGTGAAGCACAAACGTACAATAAAAGGTTACATTTATGCCTTCAACAGAATCAACACTAATGAATTAAAGGTAATCAATTAATCATAGACCTTTTGAATTACATAATCTTTTTATGTTAAGCAATTTAATCAATCAAAATAACAACGAACCAAAAACCGAATAGGCACAAAAAAAAAAAATTAAAAAAAATAAATAAATAAATAAAAACCCGTCAAATAGAAGTGGTATATAAGACTTTAATTTTTTTTTTTTTTGAAATAAAAAGACTTAAATTAAATTCCTTATATATGGACATCTACATAGATCATATATATCCTTCATACACTTAATTTTATCTACATGATGCTCCAAACTCGTTTCATTGTGTCGGTTTAACCCCCTTTAATTAATTCGATAAATTCTTATTAGGCTTTCCTTAATTTCTCTACGAATTCCTAATTTTCTCAAACCTCTACCATACCTTTCTTAACCGTGCATCCATGTATGCTAAAATGAACTTACTAGCAAATTTTTCTTCTCATTGCATCCTTAAAATTTACAACTCCTACTTTATGTCAAAATCTACGTTCATAATTTTATTTCTCAAAGTGTTTTCACACTCCCATTAGCCCCATATTATCATACATACATCTGCTAGCTAGCAACTCCAATCTTTTTCTTAATGCATTTACTCCTTACATGTACTCCAATTTAAGTCTTATTCATAAAGGTTTATTTACATAATCAATCATCTCCATCCCAATTAATATACTAATTGATATACTTTTTTGGTCGGACCTTTTTCTATCAATTGCTTAATCTTTATTGTCTTATGGGTACAAATTGTCTAATACAAAATATATACTTGGAATGAACATATATTTGTAAAAGGGTCACATGGATGATTGAGACCAAAGTTATAGATTTATGATTTGAAATTTCCATGAAAATAAGAATGAACATTTAATACATGAATTAAATCAAATTTCAATATCTCTACTCGCTTTATGTTCTTATAGTACATGAGATCATGCCAAAGTTTCACAATTAATGAATCACAAATTCACAGCCATACAAATTTTTCCTCAGAAATTATCGGAGTAAATTTTTTATTTTTTTTTTCTAAATTACAGAGTTCCAGTTAGTAAATGATGTAGTCTCTCTCAGTTGATTTACGCGTATTATCAATTTGTAAATTAAAACTCACTTGGCAATAACTTATTCATTCAAGAAAATGAGATTTTATTTTTCTTACTATAATATAATTGCGACTATTCTAGATTGCGTTCTAGTCTCTACTTTGATTAAAAAAAAGAAAAAAAAAAATCTTTGTATATACTATATAGAGTACCTTTTTTGCGTGTATATATATATATATATATATATGTATATACGTATATGTATATAAATACATATACATATACATATATATATATATATATATATATATATATATATATATATATATAATCACCAAAACAAAACGTTGCTGACGTCATCACTGTCCACATGTCACTCACATAATAAATTTTTTCCCGCCTAAATGTAAGGATAATGTCATTTTTTTTTGGAGCTATATGTAACATTTTGAAATTTGAATATTAGAAGCTTCTACATTACAACTACAACCTATCGATTTATCTTTAAAAAATGAAACAAATGTAAATAGCACACTAATAAATGGACTCCTACATTGAAATATGTATTAGGCGACGTTGAACAGGTATTATATCATAATTTTGATGAAAATCTAAAACTATAAAATTACAAATATTTTTGTACAAGGTGCATAATTCTTATTTATATTTATCCATTATTTTTAAATGTACAAATTATAAAAATAGATTTTATATAAACCGTGCATCGCGCGGGTTCTAACCTAGTATACATACATATATATATATATATATATATATATATATATATATATATATATATATATATATATATATATATATATATATATATATATCTAAACAAAACTCAACAAGAAAATTATTTCCTAGTTAATTGAGTATATCTTTTGTATACATATACTTTCTTTATATGTATATGCATCGAATATCTACGGAAAAAAAAAGGAAAAAAAAAAACACTCAATGAGAAAATTATTTTCCAATTAATTGAGAAGTACTCTGTATATTTTTTATTTTATAGGTAGGTGTATCCTGCATTTTTGTAGGATGATTCAGAAACAAATTTCATCATTTGTCCCTAACCGACTTATAAATGAAAACCTTATTCTGCACAAACAACTATAAATATTGAAAAATTTTGTTAGACAAATATACTAAAGAAATTATAAAGCTTATTTTCATAAAATAAAAAATAATAAAAAGCATTTTAGGACAGTTTTATGATTCAAATTGACTAATAAATCTGGCTGATACTTTTCTTTATATAGAGAAAGAAGGATAAGTTATCATATCTTAATTATTAGGTGTAAATCAGATCTTAATTCTATGCCATAATATTCGGGTGTGTTTTTTCCTCTCTCTTATAGTCTAAAATAAAACTTTGTACCGATCTATATCTCTATTTTTCTACGATTTCTAATATATATTGGAATTATCATAGAGTGGTATACTCAAGGTGACAACTGCATGTATAAGTGTACTATACGTGTTGTTACTTGCCCACATAACCTTGTAAACTAAAAATTACATCATCGTCTGATTTAAAATATTATTTTCTCTATATGGAATAATATATACGCAATATCAGTGTTGTTTAATTTTCTCTTTCTAACGTAATTACTGTAACAAATCTTGAAATTCACGTGCTAATATTGAACAAACCATGAAATTCAATCATAAATGAGATAAAATTCGTTTTTAATGAAAGTATTTTGTCAAAATTTTAACCATATAATGTATTTAATAGATATTTAATAATACACGTGACTATACATCTTAATATACGTGACTGTATATCTTAATTAACCTAGTGATGAGCGTATTGTTCATTACTTCGTAGTATGTAGACAAGTAGACAACCTTAATGGTTCATTATACTTTGTAAGTCCATTCTACATAATCATCATCAAGAAATACTCCGTATATTGGTTCCATAAACTTACTACACGTTGAATACGCACATCTTTTTCCATGATACATGTCATTCTAACCTAGTAAGTTTTGATATTTTTGTTATTTAAAAAAAAAAAAAACTAATTTAGAGGAGAAATAAAGGGGCATCAGACCCGGCCCGAACGGGTTATGCTTCAGCAATACATATTTCAAACCAAACAAAGAAAATCAAAATAGAGCCACATGGTAATAATGCACAGATTAGGGAAAGAAAGAGAGAGAAAAAGGAGGAAGTTGAGGAAAAAGGCTTTGAAAAAGGAGGGATAATTCATCGTTGAAAAAACCAAATTTAAAAAAAAACACTTCATCAAAGGGCAGTCAAAAGTCAATATGATTTCCCAAAATAAAAAAAAAAACAAAAAAAAAAAACGTAAAATTAATTGGAAATGGAACTAATTTTGTTTATGTTGCATGCTCTCCACAACAAACTTATACAATAACAAGAAAATTGATACACCCAAAATCATTCAACGTATTGTACAATCCCTCCGTCTCTAAAAATTCTGGTAATTCATATTAATCTTACATTTTTTACTGTCATTATTTTTTAAAAATACAGTATTGTTTTTCCTTCAAAGGTGATTATTATCTCACGTAAAAAGTCATTACGGGAATAACAATATTTAGAGACAGAAGGAGTAGTATTCTGTATACATATATGAGACGATGCAATTATCGTCAGAACCGGAAGAACGTTAAGAGACGGGGTTTATATTTTTTTTTTTTTTTTTAAAAAAAAGGGTGGAAGGGATATTTCTTTCTCTTTCTTACAATCTCTCTCCAAAGCAATAGCAATAAGAGCACCTTACCCTCTCACCCCCACCACCATAAATGCAGTTTACAACCTCCCCTCATTTCTCTCTCCTCAAAAACTCCATACGCTCTTTGCAATTACTCCTCTTTCTGCCACTTCCCTTCTCCACCTGTTCCCTACCCTTCTCCCTTCTCTTCTCCTTCTCTCTCTAAAATCCATAAACCTCACTCTTCTCCTTTCTCTCTCTATCTCTAAAACACTCATAACATTCAACTTTCTACCTCACCAATCTCCGAATCCAGATCCAACTCGACTCCGTAAGTTTCTCATTTCCCTCTTTTCTCTTTGTTATATCTCCGTCGGTCTGATATGTATGTCCGTCAAAGTGTTAACTCCTTCTTTGTGTATGTGTATGCGCGCATGTATCCGAAACCAAATTTTTCTTAAAACAACAAATGCCCTAGATGGCTAGAAATCTTTTTTATATATATATTTTTTATAAGATTGATTTTTGTAAAGAAATTTCATTTTAGTTTTTTGGTAATAATAATGATAATCCATGTTTGACGTTCAAAACCTTAATGTGAACCATATTTTCCGTTATGTTTTTATTTTTTCAAGGAGAGTTGAAAAGGCGTGATCTTCGTTGGCGTTATAATCTGTGTCAAAAAATAAATTTATTTTTTTTAATAAAAAAAAAAAGGTGAGCTAATTTGGAATTAGTAGTATATGTCAAAGCCACCTTTTCACACTGTCAACCCTCATTTCTCTAAATACATTTCATTTTTTTTTATATTTTAATTATTATTGTTACCTTATAAAAAAATTATTAATTTACGTTTAGAATGTCGCGTAAATAAAGGTAAAATAAATTAATTATTTATAATTAGAGAGATAAAATAATGTCTATAAATATTTTCTCTCTCATCTTAAGACAATAGTCAAAGGGTAATTGACTTACAAAACCAGAAACCACCCCCACGAGTCAATCTAGTAGAGAGCTTAAGTCACCTCTCAGAAAATTTACAGATGAGAGAGAATTTTTCTTAATTTTTTTTTCACTAAAAGACAAATTTTTCTAGGGTTTTTTTTTTTAGTTTAGTGTACTATAAATATATAGTTTAATTAATCTTTCTTTTTTTAATTTTGTTGTAATTTATTTGGGTTTTGTAGATCGGAAAATGGATGAAGTGAAGAAGGATCTGGATTATTATCAGGTGAAATATTTGTTTTAATTTTTATTTTTTGTTATCTTAATTTTTTTTAATAAAAAATATTGTTATTTCCTAAAGTTTGGTTTATATAATTTTCCATAGTGAGTTAGTTTTGTACATCAACTTTCCCTCATCTATAAGAAATCATTTTTTACTAAAACTAGAAAATTATCACATTTCATGATTTTTTATTATATTATTTTTGGATGTTTTTGTTTATATATATGTAGATGTTGTAAGAAGGTAGACTATCAGCAAAAACAAAAGGGAGGAAATTTAGAAGACGGAAAAATAATCAAGGGTGAAGGAAAATTATTATTATTATTAGGGAAAAATACAAAAAAAAAAAAAAAAAATGTTTCAGCCAAATATGTTTGAGACACACCACCAGTTGCTAGACATGTCTGGGCATAAAACTCCGGATAGCGAGTTAGGGAAGATGAGGGATGACGAATTCGAAAGCAGTAGATCCGCTACCGAGAATCTGGAGGGGCTTTCGGGCGATGATCAGGATCCGAATCAACGGCCGAAGAAGAAGCGTTACCACCGTCATACTCAACACCAGATTCAAGAGATGGAAAAGTAATTTTTTTTTTTTTTTTTTTTTTTTTTTTTTTTTTTTTTTGTAACTTTTAGTTTTATTTTCAAGTTAATTTTATTGGATGGTTTGTTATTTTGTTTTTTTTTTTGGTAACATACTAATTAATCTGTTTTTTTGGGTGCGAAATTGAAGTTTTTTTAAGGAATGCCCTCATCCGGATGATAAGCAAAGGAAGGAGTTAAGCCGTAGATTGTCATTGGAGCCTTTACAAGTCAAGTTTTGGTTTCAAAATAAGCGCACTCAAATGAAGGTATATTCATACATATTACTCCTTTCCTCCCACGATTTTAGCCATCTATATAGTTTACAACTCAATTCACCAAATGATAAACCAATAACATGATTAATTTTGTTAATAAGCAATTAACAATTGCCTAATCTCTAAGTGAATTGTCGTAGAGCCCTCATTTAGCCTAATACTTTGGTCGAATCCTTGATACTATCCTAAACCATGACATGAAAATGTGTAATGGATTATTTCATAATTCATAAAGCTTAATTCTGCCTTTTTATTAGATTTACATGCTCATTTTAATTATAATTCCTAGGATTAGCTAGCTAACAACTTATGAAGTGACTATTGAGGTAAATCTCCACTTGTGAAAGTAACTGTCAGATTAATTTGTTAGTCATTGTTATTACATACTCATATAGCAAAGTTTTTATTTAGTAATGCATTATATGCTTTTGGTTAATGATAATGCTATCGCGAAAGGGACAATATATAGCCATTAATTGATCGCCGAACTTCTTAATTTCATTGTAATATGTCAATTTTCATTAACATTTGTCTGCTTTAATGAAGTATTTATGTAATGCACTCCACAACCTTGCTTCCTAGGTGCTACACAATTTAATAGTCTCTTTTATGGTTCCTTTAACCAAATTAATTAACATATTAATAATTTTTCATGATAGGAAGTCGTAATATATATTAATAATCTCTTATATGGTTTTTCCTAACTAATTTAATTAATTAATTTTCGTCCATTAATTTCCATGATTTTAGGCCCAACATGAACGATCAGAGAACCAGCAACTTCGAAATGAGAATGAAAAACTTCGAGCTGACAACATAAGGTTCAAGGAAGCCCTAAGCAATGCTACTTGTCCCAACTGTGGAGGGCCAGCCGCGATTGGTGAGATGTCATTTGATGAGCAACAACTCAGGATCGAGAATGCTCGACTTAGAGAAGAGGTATTATTCCCTTGATCACATGTATAAACATTCATTTAAACAAATGTTTTTGGCTATAATATATTTTTTACTAAGTTATGAACTTTATGGTACATGATTATTAATACATCTTTAATTCAATATTGTACTTATGCTTCTTTTTCGACGAATTGTTACAGATTGATAGGATATCAGGCATAGCAGCTAAATACGTAGGAAAGCCCTTAGTGACTTACCCTCATCTTCAAAATCAAGGGCTACAACCTTCGCGCTCCTCTCTTGATCTTGGAGTTGGGAGCTATGGTCCGCAATCAGGCATGGTAGGGGACATTTACGGCTCAGCTGGAGACCTCATACGATCAGTAGCCCCACCTACAGAGGCAGATAAACCCATGATCATTGAGCTGGCAGTTGCGGCAATGGAGGAACTTATTAGGATGGCTCAAGCAGGTGACCCCTTGTGGATTCCTAGCGCTGATAACTCAACTGAAATCCTTAATGAAGAGGAGTATTTCCGGAACTTCCCTCGTGGGATTGGACCTATGCCTTTAGGCTTGAAATCGGAGGCCTCAAGAGACTCCGCTGTTGTTATTATGAATCACATGAACTTGGTTGAAATTCTCATGGATGTGGTAAGATTATGATTGTAAACATTTAAAAAATGGTTTAATTTAGGCTTTTTTGTGAAATGGACTAATCGAGTTTTTCTTGTAATTAGAATCAATGGTCATGTGTGTTCTCTGGGATTGTTTCAAGAGCAATGACCTTAGAAGTTTTATCAACTGGAGTCGCTGGAAATTACAATGGAGCTTTGCAAGTGGTAAGCAATTATATATTAACCTATTTTCGAGTAAGTTTTATTATATATTCACAAGTAATTTTAATCATGGCATACATAATTTATCAACTGTTTGTGATTAATCACAGATGACAGCTGAATTTCAAGTCCCTTCACCTCTTGTTCCCACTCGCGAGAACTACTTTGTGAGGTATTGTAAGCAACATGGGGACAGTACTTGGGCAGTGGTTGATGTTTCGTTGGATGGTTTACGCCCTAGCCCAATTCCAAGGTGCCGTAGAAGGCCATCCGGTTGCCTAATACAAGAGTTGCCCAATGGTTACTCTAAGGTAATGAATGAACAAAAACCCTTTATGTATACTGTTATTAAGATTATATTTTTCTTGTCTAATTAATTATTTTGTTAGCAACTTGTACTTGTTTTGATTTGGATGTGATTTCTTAAGGTGATGTGGGTTGAACATGTTGAAGTGGATGATCGAGCTGTGCACAACATATATAGGGCACTCGTAAATTCAGGGCTAGCTTTCGGGGCTAAACGTTGGGTATCAGCATTGGATAGGCAATGTGAAAGGCTTGCTAGTGTCATGGCTAGCAACATGCCTGCAGGAGAGGGTGGTGGTAATAACTTATTTTTTTCTAATTCGTTTGAAACATTGCAATTCTTTTCTTTCGAAATAATTAAAATCCTTTAATTTGTCTCACTTGTTATGTATCACTTTTATGCTCACTTATTTTGGATCATGTTCAAAATTGGGACCAAATAAAAAGATCATTCTCTTAATATAAAGTGGGATGTTTTTCTCATATGATTTTGAAAGTTTTTACACCAAAAAATTAAACATTCATTTTTTATTGACCTTTTTTATTTTTTTGAATTTTTGGTAGTTATTACAAGTCCAGAAGGGAGGAAAAGTATGCTGAAGCTAGCAGAGAGGATGGTAATGAGCTTTTGTGCTGGAGTTGGAGCCTCTACAGCCCACACATGGACAACATTATCAGGGAGTGGTGCTGATGATGTTCGAGTGATGACTCGAAAGAGCATGGATGACCCTGGTAGACCCCCAGGCATTGTTCTTAGTGCTGCTACTTCTTTCTGGATGCCTGTTTCTCCTAAACGAGTCTTCGATTTCCTGCGTGATGAGAACTCTAGGAGTGAGGTATGTACATGCACAATACAACACCCTAGAGCCCATTTGGGTAGCTCAACTAAGCTTTACCAGTTTCTAATTAAGAAAAAAAAAAAAGAACAATACAACACCCTAGATATTAATGTAACATTGTAAGAATTACACATCAAGTTGAATATTTGAGGCTTAATTTCGTTGCAGTCTTTTTAATTCATTTTAAGAGTATACATGTAGACCAAAATAATTTACATAAACATCTATGTACATTGCTAGGGTTTCAGTTGATCAGACACTAATTATTCTCACAAATCTCTCAAAATAATTGATTTTTTGATTAACTATAACATAAAAACTAGTTAATTTTTGTTACAAAGTTATATTATTGCATAATTAGCTAAACTAATCTTTTATTGTCTACTTTATGCAGTGGGATATCCTCTCTAATGGAGGACTAGTCCAAGAGATGGCTCACATAGCCAACGGTCGTGATCCAGGGAACTGTGTTTCGCTATTAAGAGTGAATGTAAGTGTACTAGTTTGTTAATCAATATTGTCTTTAATATCCTAATCCTAACTTATATGTACCAAATTTAATGAAACAATAAGTTATAAATCAATTGTTTTGTGACATAAATATTAATTTGGGGGTGTGAAATGTAGAGTGCAAATTCAAGCCAGAGCAACATGCTAATACTCCAAGAGAGCAGCACAGACCCAACAGGCTCCTATGTAATTTATGCACCAGTTGATATCGTCGCAATGAATGTGGTCTTAAACGGTGGGGATCCAGACTACGTTGCACTCTTGCCATCAGGCTTTGCCATACTTCCTGATGGTCCAGTAGGAGCACATGGTGGCGGTCCCTTGGAGGTCGGCTCAGGGGGTTCGTTGCTAACCGTTGCATTCCAAATCCTAGTTGATTCGGTTCCTACAGCCAAGCTCTCCTTGGGGTCTGTTGCTACTGTTAATAGTTTGATTAAGTGCACTGTGGAAAGGATAAAGGCTGCTGTTGCTTGTGAGAACCCTTGATCAAACAACTTGGTTGGCATGCTTTTGTTGATGGTAAGCCAATATAATTATCAAATTCGCGGTTATTCTAGTCTTATTAGGACATAATGATGATGTTTTTGAACATTTACATTTACATAATTCGTTTCATTATATAATACCTTGAGAGTTGAGATAATTTTCTATAAAAATATGCTAGTGAAAGTTATTAAAGTCAAAATGAGCTAGCTAGGTTTGACTGTCAAAATTGAATGTGACCTATTATTGATTTATTATCGAAACGGAATTTATGATTCTGTATTGTCATTAACTACATGTACGTGTTATAATAATGTATACCATACCAAAGCATTATTGCATCATTAACTTCTTTTCGACGAGTAATAAAGATTTGTAAGATTGTCGACTATTTTAAGTGATTGCGACTTACTCTCGTTTAAATTGGTTTATGTTTTTGCAGTAAGCTTAATTAGTAGAGGACCGGAACACAATATTAAGCAAAGAAGGGGAGTGTATGTGTTTACAACTTTTGTGATTTTACAGTATGATGATGAATGGAGGAAGTCAAGAACGCACCTTTTGTTGATCCTTGGAATGGTGAATGCATGCATGTAATTTCATAATAGAAAGGAATTCAAAAGATCGAACTATCTCGATTCAAAGGAACCTATATCATCAATGGCTAGCTACCATTACAAGGGAATTGGGTTCGGGTATTGACTTCGCCAAAAATAGTCAGTAAAACAAAGGTATATGGACTCGAAAATATCCATGGATGATCATAAGCATTTCCCCTTGTCCTCCCTTAAATTAAATTGACTGTTTTTGTTGCAAGTGATTATGGCAAAATTAAAGCCAAGTTAACTTGAGACTTTTAGAAAAAACCTTGTTGCATAAGAGTGTTTTGATAAATTAATTAGGCTGATCATCTCCCCTTCTTCAATCTTGATCAAGTGTTTGTTATGTTCTTTAATTTCTTGTTTAAGATTAATGTAGGACTTTTTTCACCTTTTTTTTAAAAAAAAAACTGACTTTTTGTATTTTGTGTGCTTTTCTAAAGGATAATATTGCAAATTTGTGTTTCATTTCTTTGAAACCTAGCTAAGGTTTTGTAGCCGAAATTGTTTAGGATATGTTGGCAAGAATAGTTTATGATTACAAAAGTTTTCTTAGAAATTACTATGTCAATAAATTTGGAGATAAATTTGTGGTATTGTTTTTTGATAATTTGGATAGAATTAAAAAAGCATTCCTTTGAATTGGAATTAATTGTCATATTGTAATACGGAGTAACTTATATACTCATCATTATTTGACTAATATAGTGTCAATAATCATAGTTTTTCTCGATCTTGTTGTCACTCCTATAACTAGTGTCATGAGAAGTAACTATTTTCCTTAAGAAATATGGTAATTTTTCTATTTATTATTACTACGAGTAGTAAAATAAGTACACTTGAAAGACAAATATGGACAGGCAGTAAGTTAAATTTTACCATTTGATCAAACAAACTGTACCCATTAAAAAAAAATAATCAATTGTGCATTTTTATACGATTTAAATGAATGCTTTGGCATGAGTCAGCAATCTTAAACTAAGCTAGATTGATGTTCAAAGGGCGAAAATTTTCTTAATAATAAACATACATATTAAATAGTGAGTTAACTATTGAATAACTTATAGTTATGGCACAACATATGGCAACAAAAAAAATGATGGAATTGATTTAAATTACATCAGAAAATCTCAGCTGAGTTAAATGTGTTGTGCTGAAAATGGTAAATCTTGTAGCTGTCTGGTAAGTTATCCCTAGGATGTTATCAAATTTGGTGGTAAATAAATTTGTATTGGAAATAACTAACATCATGTGGGTTGCAAGCTAAGTTAACTTAGTACAACAAATTTATGTTATCGTATACTACTGGTCTACTACTACTAAATTAAACCATGCATCATCTGAAATTTCATTCTTAACAAACTATACTATATAGAGCAATTTCAACTATTTCATCCTAGATACATAATATATATCTCGTATTTCATAATCAACTCGTTTAATAACTCATGAACAAACTTTTAATATATTTGTAACTCGTGGGGAAAAAAAGTCTCACAGACAGGATCATCTATGGTCTTTATTTTTCACTAATTTCTATGATTTGAGTTATTGTTAAGGATAAATTTGTATAATAAGGGTAGAATATAATAAGAGGGTAAAAACATAAAAGTCAATTTGTATAATAGAAAAATGTTGTCTTCCTAGAATCCCAGTACAAGAGCTAGGGTTTGAAGATCATGATCATCATTACTCAAAGTCAAACAAAAAGGCAAAATACACAAATTTCAAGAAAATAATCTTGGTCCTACCAACTACCACTCATTTCAAAAACAAAAAACAAAAATTGATAAAAGGAAAAAGGTGAAAAATGTACCTTAAGGTAAAAAAATTCAATAGCTGGAATGCTGGATAATGTATGGAACATGCAACGTAACCGCGTAGAATTAAATAGGGTAAGAAGAGAGAGAAAATGATAGTTTTGCAATTGCATTTACAGGTACAACTTACATACATAAACCTAGCAGACTGTCTCTTTGACAGACCTTTTATAGTTTGTTCAGTTTCAGAGCAGTAGCCACCTTCCTACATTTACTTTTTCTTTTTTCTTTTTTTTTTGTGGGGGGGGGGGGGTAAAAATAATTTAAAATAAGTTTGGACCAAAATATATGCCAACCAACCAATTGTAGTAGTTTTCATAAAGAAGTCATGAATGTAATTAATACTTCTAGTTTGTTAAAAAAAAAAAAAAAAAAAAAATTCAATTATGGTAGACAATGATATATAATGCCCTTAGGTTGTATTAGTTGCATATAACCATTGAATAATACTTCTTTTTTTTTTTTCCAAATTGTATTCCTTGTGCCTCAATTTGATTATTACTTGAAGGTTTGCATAAAGTTTTAGATGATATATTCATTATATTGTCATTTGTTTATCAATTGTATTTTAATCAAATAGTAGTAGATGTGGTGAAAGAATGTGGAAGATTATTTTAATTTAATGAGAAGATATTATACATAACTTTTGGTAGTGGGAAGAGAGCGAGGGAGAATGAAATATGTAATGACTAATGAGTCTATATTCTATGCCATTAAAGGAAGTGTGACAACTAAACTTGGACAAACAAAAAAGAAAAGTAGATAGTTAAATTATGGAGGGAGTGGAAATTTAGAATTTATGATAAAACTGTACGTCAAGTAATCCTATTAATTGCTTAATACGAAGTAACTCTTTATTATTAATTTTTTAATATGCTTATATAGTTATATACTTGCAAAGTTGCAATTATTATTTTATTATTTTTTAATTAATCATGTTTTTGGTTTAATCGATCTTTTGATCATGTAAAAAGATGAATATCAAAAATTCTCGTGAGTTTGTATTTGTTGTAGACTTGTAGTGAATCACTAGTGATAATGAAGGCGATTGTTTTTGGGTAAGTGTTGGGTTGTAATTGATGAAATTACAGTTGATATTACATTTTTTTTTTAGTTTTTGTTGATTGTTCGTACATTTGTATAACTTCATAAATGAATGATGAAATTATTTAACTAGAAGACAATGCTCCTAGAGAGGCCCTATGTCATCCAATACACTTTTTTTTTTAGTAAATGTTGTAATTGCGATAGTACATGTCCCTGGATAGACTATTTGATTCAAACTTGAACTACGTCAAACAAGATAATTTTATTTTTTATAAAATATAAACAAACTTTGACGCGAGCTGGCTTGTTGTGATTAAATATATTATGTGACTAACATTATTGGAATTTCATAAAAATTACGTTTAATTTAAGTAGATTCTAATATGACTGGATTAGATTGAATAAAAAATATACATAACTAATATGATCCAAACCCAAAATCTCAAGTGAAATAACTTGGATTGATTTCCATCTTTAGAAAAGTTTGTTATCATATAAATAACTTATTAAAAGCTCTGAAAAGATACCTAGCTCGAGGTCAATTATTTGATTTAAACCGTACATGAGTTGTGTATAAAACCAGAAAATTTTATTATCAATTGAACAACATTTAGACAACCCTACTTATTGTACACCAGACATAATTGATATATGAATTATTATGAATAGAGTATTTTCCTGAAAGTTTGACCATAAATAGATTTAAATATCATACGATTTAAATTGATCCCAAATCGAATCAAATAATGTTCTCAAACTAAGTTTACATTCACATAAGTAGTCTAACTTATCGAAAGAGCTTACAAAATTAATGGGAACGTTTGGCCATAAAAACAATAATCAACAATATAGGCCACCTTAACCATGCCATAAGTCTTGCTGGTGGGTCAAAATCCAAAGCTCAAGTAAATGTATGTACATGTATATGTAGACAAATATCATTTTTTTTGTTGGTGCAAAAGACAAATTTCATATTAATTGCTTGCTTCCAAATAAAAACATCCTTAAGTTCTTAAGGTTGCTAGACTAGATTACTAGGTATATATCCTTAACTTATGATTGTACGAACCTCTTAAAATGCCCACAAAAGAACTATGGGATCAACTTGATTCTCATTGCATTGCTCTTTTAAGAGCTTCAGTCAGGGCCAACAACTTTGTTCAAACTGCAAACGTGCAAGTTAAGCCCATATTGCGATTGCTTTCTTTATTCACAGCCTCGATCTATTATATATACATTATTAAATCCAAGTTTATTTCTTGCTCATCGAAAAAAATGCAATATATTTGTTTGCTCATTTTGAACGAATCCAATCTGTAGAAGTAGAAAATTAGTCTTGTTTTAGACTGATTGCTACGTACAACTCGTGTATTACAATTTTAGGGGTTATTACTTAATTGATTATAATATACCCATATTATAATTAGGTCACTGATAGACTTGTCGAGCACCTAACAAAAATAAACCTAACTAGGCCACTAACTATGTAGAAGGGCGCAAGTAAGGGTTGGATCCCAAGAGACTATGGTTTAACCAATTATAACGACTCAAGCAATTACTAAGCAAGAAATCAATTCGAATAATACTAACTAATTAACTAAATAGCACAATTATTCCAAATAATAAGAGAAAATCGATAATAAAAACATCCAAGATCAAGCATTACCACGAATATAATCAATGCATAGTCATTCTACCCCTAACATATAATACAACCAAAAAGAGGAAAAGTAATCCTTAGAAAATACCAAAGGTCTCTCTCGAGTTATCAATGACTTCCCTTATCACAATCAAGCCTACTCTCGTGGAATTATGCAAATTAGAGACATTAAACACATTACTTAGCTTCCTAATCATTCATTCAACTACTCTCGTGATGAACTTCAAACTCTTAAATGATTTATTCAAACCCGTTAGAATTCAACTCTCGTTGTGATAAAAACAATGGATTAATAACAATACTAATTATTTCTAATCTAGTATTGGCATAAGCACAATCAATCAAGCATGTCAATTGCAATTATCATTAAAGAATTTACATAAATAATTCATGCATCAATCATATTCGGGTTCCGCTAGATCTTAGAATAAGAAAACTACTCACTCATGATAACAAAAATAATAACAAGAATCAAAGAAAACATAATTAATAATTAAAGAAATAAAATAGAGTAATAAAGTACCGAATCTTGAATTGCAATGGAAACTAAGTTCTAGAGAAAAAACTAGGTCTAAGAGTTCATCTCCTAAACTAAGGAAATAAAGAAGTATTTATACTCAAATAGAAAAACCTACACAAAAGATAGAAATTATCTTAAACTTCCTAAAATATGCGCCCGGGCACGGACATGCCAAAATGAGGCACGGACGTGCCTCACCGCACCATCTAAGTCTTCTTCGTTGGGGCACGGACGTGCCTGCATTAAGCTCCTTGACATCCTTCGTAAAGGCACGGGTGTGCCCCCTACCAAAATTGAGGCAATAACTTTACAAACTTTTTCATCAATGAGGCACGGACGTGCTTGGAATTGGCACGGATGTGCCTGCACAGCATCGCGCTTCACTCACATCCACACGTCCATGCCCGCACAAAGGCATGTA